AATTAAGGATGAAAATACCAAAAAATGGAAGATATGAATGTGTTGCACAACAACAATGAAAGATACGAACGTTTTGTGCTAATTACCCTTACAAATACAACATGACGAAATCACAACGGAAACAATTTAAAAACAATTATTACAACAAATTTAGGCCAGAATTCAGCCGAAAAACAAATCAGCTCATCTCTAGATCGTTGAGCTTGAGCTTGGGCCTAGACACATGAGCTCAAATTGACCCATTTGGCCCAAATTTGAGCTTGGCTTAAGTCCAGGCTCGTATAGAAACAAGTTGCACGTGGTCTGAGCCTGGACTCGCACAAACCAACCTTCAAACTGACGAGCCAACTAGTCCAATTGCCACCACAATATGAGAGACAATTTAGTTACTGTAAGGTGAGAATAGAAAGCGAGGACCATTTACGGTTGTAGGGTTTGGACCACTTAAAGTTGAATTTCTACATCCCATGAGGAATCAATTTTTTTGAGGAAATACATGGAAATAACTTTTTCACTGTTATGTATTTCCAAAGTAACCTTTGATTAGGATATAGAATAAAAAAAAAAGGTGAAAATATAGCTTTACCTGGAAAAAATAAAAAATACCCTCACTTTGTCAAAAGGAAAGCTCTCACTCACGACTCTCTTTCCAAACCGCCCCTCTCACCGTTGATCGACCCAAGAAATTCACGAAACCGACTACCTAAAAATTGACAAAGAGGTGACACGATCACCGACGACTAATAAAATTGGTTGTTGTCATTAAAATGGAGTTTTTCATGGATGGGTTTTTTATAGATTTAGTTCGAATTTAATTACATTTATTTAGTTTATTTAGTGTTGCGTGGTTGTGGAGTTGATTTAAAAGTATTAGAGGGAGTTGATTTGATGTTTTTGGAGCTTAAAGTCGCCAAACTGGCCATTTCCGACGCTGTGTTGCAATTCCGGCTGTTAACAGACGATTTTTGAAACCGGCTGTGAACATTCGGCTTGTTGAGCCGGCCCAGATCCAGCGTCAACAACCAGATCTGGGCCGACTATCACTTGGGCCACAGTTGGCCCAACACACTAAATGTCTGAAGTCGGCCCATACATATTTATTAATAATTGAATAAATTGAATATGAAATAAATATTTATAAAATTTAATATTTTACGTAATCGAATTTTTTTTATATAATTCAATAATTAATTTTAATTTGATAATTACTAATATCATTAAATAAATCATTCTAATTATTAAATATTATATTTTAACATATTAGCAACTTCCTTTGTTTTCCTTTAAATTTTATTAATAATTGAATAAATCGAATATGAAATAAATATTTATAGAATTAAATATTTTACGTAATTGAAATTTTTTATATAATTAAATAATTAATTTTAATTTGT